TATTTGCTTGTTTGTTTGTTCGTTTTTCCTTTGTTTTGTAAACAGGCTCATATATAGTAGGCTGCAAAGAGGTAAAGTTTTGAATATTTTTATTACAATAAATGTTGTTAAATAACAGTTTGCAAGCAATAAAATATGCAAATAAATATACAATTTAATATACAAAGTAACTAACGTTAGCCAATGCACCACTGTGTCCGGGTAGTGGGAAAATTACACTAATAACTAAATCACACTGGTTAGATTACACAAAATGTTATAAAACATTCATGTTAGAAAACACAAAAGTTTTCGCCAACTGTTAAGGTCATTTTTCCCATTTGGTTGTTTGGTCCCCCTTTTCCTTTTTGCCAGCGCGTCTTGGTTTCGTCTGGACAGCTCAGCCCCAATCCGACACATCACATATTTGTTCAGGACTATCCTCTCGATATCCTCTGTGTGCCTTAGATGTTAGTGCTCAACATCACTGAATAAATTACCACCTCTCAGGTAATGTTTAAATTTTTTTGTGATGTCTTTTTTCACCCATACTTTGGGAAGGACTTTTTATTTTATTTTACCATGACAGCTTCCCAAATCTTTTTTTTTATTAGGTCAGAAGGTCTGATCAGATTTGAAGAGCTGGTGTATTTTTTGGCATTGATGAAGTGACCAGTTTCATGGTTTCGGTGGTAGTTGTGGTCCGTATCATTGGACATAACCAACAACTTTTCACAAGCGTTTATGTCAGCGTCTTCAGACAACTTGCGGACCACCCACCCAGCAACATAGGTAAGTGCCTCTACTTCACCAATGTCAGACTGCTCAGGTGGCTCATCCTGCTGTACAAATGGAGTAATTTATGCATATTATGAAGAACTGCATTATTTAATTGTATTTTTGTGTATTACTTAAATTAATAATAACGAATAGGTGTTAACATTCTAAATTAATTAAAGAGCATGTTAAAAACAGCAGGCTAACACTAGGATATGAGTGTGAGCATGCTGTTATGGCTTTGGAATTATTTTCAGTTTACTTGTTCATTTGCATCCAATCCATTTGTATCATCATCATCATCATGACCAGTCTCATTCTTGTTAGAAGAGGAATGCAGACGAGGAGGAACACAGAGGAATTGTTGTGCAGGTAAAGCATGGAAGAAAAGGTAAGCAATTTAAATGTAATTAGTTTTTACATGTCAATCTGCTGAGTAAAATATGCTTATGCATTACCTGTTCACTACAACCCACAGTGGGAGACTGAAGAAGCTGTATGCAGCCGTCTGGCATACAGTTTGTGGGGCTATCATTAAAAGCAATGATATTTTCCGCTGATGCACTTAGTGCAGCTGAAAATTCTCTGGCTGAAGGGTGAAAGAGTATCTAAACCAGAGGTGTAAAGAGTACCTAAAAAACATACTTGAGTAAAAG